TAACACGCTGTAAAAAAACCTTAAGCAAAACCTAGACTTTCATTAGCACCATTTAACCATCTACACGCAGTACCTAGTTATCTTTAAGTATCTATTAATGGCATCTAGTCTTCCATTAATAATATTTAGTCTTCTGCTTGCCGTATCGTTTTTATCAGTAGTATCTAATCTTCTACTAGCAGAACCTAGATTTTCATTAGCATTAGTCATCTACAAGCAGTATTTAGTCTTCTGCCAACCGTATTTAGGTCTTACCAGCAATATCAACTGTACTGCAAGCAGAACCTAGGCCTTCATTATCACTGTCCAGCCATCTACAAGCAGTATCTAGTCATCTCCCAGCAGTGTCTAGTATTCTGTCAGCCGTATTTAATTCTATCAGCAGTATCTAATCTACTACAAGCAAAACCCAAGGTTTTTATATAACAGTTATAACTTTCACTAAACAAAACGGACGGAACATTCACATGGCCTTGAGGTTGCGTCCACAGTCCGCCGGCACTTACGTCAGGAAACACTCCCGCTCTTGCTTTTCGCCAACAAACTAAAATCAATGTATTACAGCATAGGAACCTAGACAACCTCTTATATAAAAACCTTGAGCAAAACCTAGACTTTCATTAGCACTGTTTAACCATCTACAAGCAGCATCTTGTCATTTCCTAACAGTGTCTAGTTTTCTTCCAGGCGTATCTTCCAGTATCTGACCTTCTGCAANACCCTATTCTATTTACTGGACCGAGTGCCACGCTACTCTCTCGGCCTAGTGTCATTTTACTGTCTCGCCACTGTACTCGTTACGTGTGACCTAGGCTTCAGATAAGAAGTTATGAATACCGTTCATAGTGCGTCGGCGGCTTTTATTATTTTTTTGTCCCCAGTAACGCGCTCAGTGCGCTACCCTCAGGAGGGGTGTGGTCACTTACTTTGACGAATCCGGACAGGGCGACCTTCGATGTGAGAAATTTACCTACCTGTCACAGTGATTTATCACTGCACAAATTCGACGGCTCGACTATAGATACTGATTGCAGAAGAGTAGATAGTGCAGGCAGAAAACTAGATGTCGTTAATGCAAGAATAGGTACTGCTGAGAGATGACTATAGTCGAGCCGTCGAATTTGTGCAGTGATAAATCACAGTAACAGGTAGGTAAATTATAGTCATCTCTCAGCAGTACCTATTCTTGCATTAACGACATCTAGTTTTTTGCCTGCACTATCTACTCTTCTGCAATCAGTATCTAGTCCTCTATTAATAATATCTAGTCTTGTGCCAGCCCTATCTAGTTTGTATCAGTAGCATCTAATCTTCTACAAGCAGAACTTAGACTTTCATTAGGACTATCTACCACTTTAGAGATCGATATCTTCGCAACTGCTCGATGAAAAAAATTGCGGTAAAGTTTGTTGTAATCACTGAACATTTCTACGTAATAAATATGAATTCGAAAATGTTCGCCTCCGCGGGGTTTCTTTTTATCGCGGGTTAAATAAAAAATGTGCCCAATTCATGCGGGGAAAGGATAATTCTGTTCAATCCGGCTGGTGTGTGTTCCAGACAGGACGTCGCGTCTTTATTACACCTATATAAAGAAATAAAGACGAGACATTCAGTTTGGAACACACACTAGCACCATATTTTATATTGGACCGAACCCCCTTCTCCCCGCAAGGCTTATATCTGTTTCCTTTTAATTTATGAGTCGTTTAAAAGTTTAAAGTTTTTTGAGAAAAAATCACCAAATGGACAAATTTGCCGACATCTTAAAAAATCTGGTACTTTTTTCATTTACCGCACGATGAAAAAAATCGACAAATTGTAGTTTTTCAAATTCACAAATGTTCAGTGATTACAACAAACTTTACTGCAATTTTTTTCATCGTGCGGTATCTCTACTTTTCATCTCTAACGTAAGGGGCCTTGTCTTTTGGCATGGATAGTAGTCATCTACAAGCAGAATTTAGTCTTCTGCCAGCCATATCTAGTTCTTACCAGTAGTATCTAATTTACTGCAAGCAAAACCCAAGGTTTTTATTAAGAGTTATAACTTTCACTAAACAAAACGTACGGAACATCCACATGGCCTTGAGGTTTCGCGCGCAATCCGCCGCCACTTACATGACGAAACACTAAAATCAAAGTATTGCAGAACCTAGACAACCTCTTATACAGGGCGTTAGGTAAACATGCGGCAAAAATTCAAGGGGTTATTCCTTGGCCTATTAAGAATATTGTGTCCTATGATGATTTTTGATAAACCCCTTTGTTTCGAAACTACAGGACGAACAGAATTTGCGACAACCATATTCGATATTTGTTGAAATTATTAATGCAAATAATAGTATGGCGTACGTCAATGATGTCAATGAGTTTATCAACTACCTAAATACGTCTCATCGATCGCATTTGTTTAGATTAAGTGACGTTTGGCTGCGTGGCGTGTCTTTAACAGTTAGTCTATTACTGTTACTCTATTATGATTTATATCAACCCCGAGATGACTGACATGCATTTCATGTATGGACTTGCTGATGGCAACCCATCAGAAGCTAGACGATTGTACATCCAACGATTTGGAATTGGAACAGAATGTACTGGACATGATAGAGGAAGATCCTGGTAGTTCTACGCGAAGAATTGCACATACTTTGAATGTAAGTCATTGGACAGTTTAAAAAATTCGTAAGGACAATTACCACATTCAACGCCTTCAAGCACTGCTATCTGCTGATTTTCCGCAACGTATTGCATTATGTTAATGGATATTGCAAACATTAGTTCGCATCCCTCTATTCCTGTCATAGATTCTTTTTACCGATGAAGGATCAAGAAATACAATAAAGAATCATAATAATCATGTGTGGGCAGATGAAAATCCGCATGAGATATGTGAAGATCATTTTCAAGATCAATTCTCCTTGAGCGTTTGGGTTGGAATTGTGGATGATTATCTAATTGGACCGCTATTTCTACCAAGAAGACTTGCTGGCGTGGTGTATCGCAACTTTTTGGCAGAAACGCTCCCTGAGTTTCTGGAGGATGTACCATACACGACAAGAATTGCAATGTGGTTTATGCACAATGGTGCACCACCACATTTCAGTTTGGTTGCTCGTAATATTTAACAGCAACATACGGAAATCGCTGGATTGGTCGAGGTGGGCCACACGCATGGCCTGCTCTGAGGATCTCTGAAGTCATTAGATTACGCTGCTCCAGTGGAGAATTTGGACGATTTGCGAAATCGAATAATTGCTGGGTGTACTCAATTACAAACGACTCTGGTGTGTTTGAAAGAGTTCGGCAGTCAATGATGAGAACATTGAATGCTTGTATTCAGGCTGGAGAAAATCATTTCGAACATTTATTGTAGATGGTGCAACTTTACATATACTTTTTAATAATAAAATGTTGTTACTGTCGCAAATTTTGTTCGCCCTGTATCTTCGAAACAGAGGGGTTTTTCAAAAATGATCGTAGGACAAAATATTTTTAGAATAGGTTAAGGAATAACCCCTAGAATTTTTGTCGCATAAACATGCTACCTAACACGCTGTAAAAAAACCTTAAGCAAAACCTAGACTTTCATTAGCACCATTTAACCATCTACACGCAGTACCTAGTTATCTTTAAGTATCTATTAATGGCATCTAGTCTTCCATTAATAATATTTAGTCTTCTGCTTGCCGTATCGTTTTTATCAGTAGTATCTAATCTTCTACTAGCAGAACCTAGATTTTCATTAGCATTAGTCATCTACAAGCAGTATTTAGTCTTCTGCCAACCGTATTTAGGTCTTACCAGCAATATCAACTGTACTGCAAGCAGAACCTAGGCCTTCATTATCACTGTCCAGCCATCTACAAGCAGTATCTAGTCATCTCCCAGCAGTGTCTAGTATTCTGTCAGCCGTATTTAATTCTATCAGCAGTATCTAATCTACTACAAGCAAAACCCAAGGTTTTTATATAAAAGTTATAATTTTCACTAAACAAAATGCACGGAACAACCACATGGCCTTGAGGTTGCGTGCGCAATCCGCTGCCACTTACGTCACGAAACACTCCCGCTCTTGCTTTTCGCCAACAAACTAAAATCAATGTATTGCAGCATAGGAACCTAGACAACCTCTTATATAAAAACCTTGAGCAAAACCTAGACTTTCATTAGCACTGTTTAACCATCTACAAGCAGCATCTTGTCATTTCCTAACAGTGTCTAGTTTTCTTCCAGGCGTATCTAGATTTTGCTACCAGTATCTGACCTTCTGCAAGCAAAACCTAGACTTTTATTATGTATATCTAGCCAGCTACAATCAATGTCTAGTCATCTCTCAGTAACTAATCTTCTACAGTCAGTCAAGCCAGACAATGGAGGGCAGAATCAAGCCCTCCATTGTCATTATTTCATCTTCCCGCATATTCTGCAAGAAGAATCTATAGTTCCATACCCGCCAAGTCATCTACAAGCAGCTTAGTTCTGCCTGCAAGATCGAACTTTATAAGACCATTATCAAACCAATAATCGTGCAATTGCAAATTATTCAAAATCCAAATTTATTCCATGAAGAAATCCATCCAACCGGATATCGATACCAAAATCTTTTTCTCGAGAATCGCGAACAAGATATTAGTTAAGTAATTTTCGAGTTATTTATAGCAATAACTTCAACAATCGCACGAGATAGATTTTTACCAGCTCGTAACCAGTTAAACCTAATGGAACAAGAAAGGTAAAGGATAGATTTTGGACACTCGAAAAATAGATGCCTTTCATCTTCCACACTGACAGCAAAGTATGATGATACTTTGTATCAGAAGCCTTCGCGATTATTTCAATTTTAAAATCATAAATGTTTACCTCGTTATCCTTTATCATTTAGTTTAAAGATAAACAACTATCAGAGATATAGACCAAAAATGTTTATTTCGATAAACCAAAGCTGACGTGTTTCGTTTTTTTTTTTGGAAAATAATTTTAGCTATCGTTTCATTGACTGGATTTCATAATTTTGTTATTGACGCATGATTAGATGACGTTTTGCTCCTCTAATCGTTTTGATAATAAATTGACCATTTAACATTTATCTTGTGATTAAAAATAAATCTTACGTGATAATGAGCTTCTACTCCTTTTCTTTTAAAAATTTCTTGTAATTCTAAAGTAACATTTTCCTGTGTTGTTCCAATAACATCATAAAACTCTGAATTTGTGTTCGCGTAATGAACTGAAAGGGCTCGACGGAATCCTTTTGTGTAATTTGGCCCCGAACCGTGTAATAATATCGGATGGAAAAATATTGTATCTCCTTTTTCCATAACGAAATTAACGGTTTCTACGTTTCCAACGTTATAAACACCATGAAAAGCAGGGTTTTTAACATTCTGAAATAAATTAGTTTTAATTTCATAATCATTTTTAACAATGGAATACTAAGTAATTACATCGGGGTATGAATGAGGATATAATTTCCCTTTGTGACTACCGGGTACACCAAATAAACAACCATTACGAGCATCTATTCTTTCCATTGCGGTCCAAACTGCTACAATTTTATTCGCAGGTCCAAAACTGAAATAATGCATATCCTAAAAGTTTCAAAAAAATTGTTGCAAAATTAATTTAATTATTTCTTGAATTACTTGGTGCATTGGATGCCTGGAAGAATCTGAATCTGCGTGTGGTGGTTTGTTTATAATCATTGAGTGACAAGCAGTTACAGTTGGTCCTATTATGCTGGAAACGATGTTTAAAATATTCTTATTACTTGCGTATTTATAAAAAATATCGTCATATAAAATATCGTTTAGTTTATAATACATCATTTCTCCAGTTTTTCCTAATTTTTTTAATTGAATATCTTTCATTGGAATCATTTTTGGGTCGGGTTTTACTCTTCCATTAGCAATATCTAAAAATCTTTCTCTAAAATAAATGCATTTTTAATTAAAATCGTTAAAAAAAGGTTAATATTATTACAAGCATAAATCGATAAGGTTTTCGTTAACAAGTTTTCTTATAATCAAATAGCCATTATCTTCGTAAAATTGCCTTTGATGATCGGTGATGTAGATATCATCGAAAGTGTAAAGATAGTTTCTGCAAAAATAAAAAGGTAAATTAAAAAAATGATTTCGTTTCAAAATGTAAGAGAAACCTGGCCATTATTGGAGTTGAAATCAAGTATTGCGGATGCTGTTTTAACAATTTAAATGGAACAGTAAATATAACTCGAATCGATATCGCTCTGGGAGTTGAATAAATACTATAAAAGATAAACTTTAACTTTAAACGATGACAAAGTACAATCTAAGTATTGTTGTCAATACGAGATTTGGTTTGTAATTATTTTTATATTCATTTGAATTAATTTATAAATGTGGTAAAAGTGCGGAATGAAATTTCATTGATTTTATTCATTAAATTTATCTGCGTTCTCGATACCGTTAATAAATATTAATTAAATATTTGAGGCTGTTATAAAACAATTTATTAATACTGATAATTCGCATTCAATAATTTGTATTCATTAACTCGAATACAACCAAATTTTGTAATTTAGTATTCAAATTCTTCAGCGGAACATAAAGTTGAAAATTTTGGTTCATTCCAATATCTGAATAAATTGAAAAATAACTACGAGGTGATTAAGAGATGAAAATATTTGGATTTGAAACGTATTTCAATGAAAGTCAAAATGAGGAAGAGGTGGACAAATCCCTTGGCTTAATTACTTATAAACGCTACAAAGCAGATATTTTTCTTCTTCTTCTTTGGCTCTATAGCCCTGAGTGGGCCCTGGCTTGCCTCATAATATCCTTCCAGTCTTCCCTGTCTCTTGCCCTTCTTTGCCATGCTCTTATTCCCATTAGTTTTAGATCCTCTTCTACATCGTCAAGGTATCTCATTGTCAGTTTCGGTCTCTGTCAATCTCAGTCTGTTCAATATTACTATTCTTGTGGGTTCATCTTCCTCAAGCGATTAATTTTGATAAATTTAACCACGTTTATGTTATTGTATGCCTGATATAATTCGAAGTTATATCGTCTTCTCCATAGTACGTTTTCGCTTATTCCGCCAAACATAGTCCGTAGTACCCTCATTTCAAATACCGTAAGTGCTTCATCCTTTCGTTTGGCAAGCACCCAAGTTTCTGATGCATATGTTAATACCGTTCGTATTAATATTTTGTATAATTTACATTTTGTCTGCCTGGACAGTTTCGCGACCTTAGCTGTGAGGATAGGCCAAGATAGCATCTGTTCGTCATGAATATTATTTTCTTTATTTCCTTGGTTTTGTCGTTTTGGCTGTCTATTAGTGTCCCCAGATACGGAAAATCTTTCACCACCTCCAATTCGTATATATCGTCCCACTCAGGTTCACCTGTTATTCACGTATCACCTTTTCAAGGGCAAGGTTAAATAAATTACAAGACAGGGCATCTCCTTGTCTTAATTCTCTGATCATATTGAAAGGTTTCGACAGTTATCCTTGGGCTCTGATTACACATTCGACATTTTCCATGATCCATCTCTATCAGAAAGCTTGGAATCTCGAATTCTGTCATTGCCGAGTATAATTTTACTCTACAACAATAACAAGTTCATATGTCTTTTCAAGTATCTGTCCTATAGACGAAATGTGATCAATTGGAAAACACACCCAGTGTAGGGTATCAGTGGTTTGATAAGTATTACCGACTGGACCTTGTATGATGTATTTAACAAAGATTTCCTCTATAGTTAACGCAAACGTATACATCTCTCTTCTTGTGTACCGGGCATATAATTTCGGTATTCTATTCTACAAAGCAGATATTATGTTACTCAAAAAATTCTCCACATGAGTTATTTCTTAGCAAACTGAAGAATATCTTCAAAAGTAACTTGCTCATTTGAAACTTTGTTATACCACCAATCATAGATCAATCATACATTTCAGTTTACTTTCGGTATGATGACCAAGTTTTGTTCCAATGAATTAGTGTGGTTCGTTGATGACTCTAGATCAGGGAATATGAATCTCATCATACGCTGCAAATTCGCGCCTTCCATTTTTTGGGGATGTGATGAGATTAGCCACATATAAGGTTCATTTCAGAACTTAGAACCTGACTTTTTCAACGACATCTTCTTAAAAAATCTTGAAATAGTAGACCAGGTTGAGGAAAAACGGCGGAGTATGTGGTCACTAAGCTATTTGTATACAGTACTGCTCAAAAGTGTATAATATGTTTGTTTTATGTGTGTAACGTTTTTCCTACTTAACTTTTGATCTAAAATTTTTACACAATACATATCTGGAGGTACTTTATATGTTTCGAACATGCTTTGCACATCAAACACACATTAGTTTTTATGAATAAAATAATTTATTAAAAAAACGCAAAATGTCAAATCCAATAGTCGTGAAAACACAAGATATTTCTAAAACCTCTGAACTTTGGAGTACTCGGTAACAATTTGATGTGAACTTAATACTTAGTGGAATATTCTTCGTTGTCGATAACAGCCTTGCATTTATAGGGCATGGAATCGATCAAAGAGATCGCTTGCAGTTCCTGGAATTTTTCTTCGACAGATTATAACCCGAACGCCCTTTATCTTGCGTTCCAGAGTGTCCCAGAACGGTTCGATGATGTTACACTCAGTTGGTGATGTCCCTGGAACGATGTCGTTGTCTTGTTGTCAACCCAACCCCTATTCCGATGGCCAGGATGTGGGATCTTGACGCTTCCACCGCTTTGCTTCATGGTGAGCAGCCCTTTCTTCACTCATTTGTACTTGTGATTGAAGCGGGTGGCAGAGGTACGGCGTATCTACGTTATGCCATCAGTTCCAAACATCAGGAACTTGCTTTCGTGGCTCCAGATGTTGATCGACACGAACGATTTCTTCATTGGTCGTCGTCCATCGAGTCCAGCAGCATTCAGCAACCTCTTGATCGTCGCCACATATGGTTAGCGCTGCCCTTCGTGCCACAATTCACGCTCAATACTGCGCTGAGTCTGGGATTATTTCTGCTCAGCTATTCGGCATTCCTGTCCTCAAGGCGTGTGGTAACTGCTCATCATTCTGAACGTTTAACAACTCTGGGTACTGCAGATTGGATGATCGAACACTGCGCTGTGTCATTTCCTGACAACGGCCTTCTACATCGCTTCAGACAAATCACGAGTTTTATTTCATTTTTCCATGTCAGTAAATACAGGGAAATAAATTTGATAATATTTAAAAAATTGTGAATCGTCTCATATGTACGAAAATGGATTTCCGAAAAAAAATCTATTTATCATCTCAAATTTTGTTTGTTATTCATGCGACAATAAAGCAGCTTTAAGTTGAGAAATATTGTGTGAAAAAATAAGATCTATACTTCCAAACGGTTGGAATTTAAGAAATAAAAATGTTTTGGGGTTATAAAAGAATGTTTGTATACAAATAACGTCAGGCTACTTTCAGTTTATTTCCGTACGATCACCAAGTTCTCTTCCAATGAATTGGTGAGGTTCGTCGGTGATGCTAGAGTGCTAGAGCAAGGCATGTGAATCTCATCATAGATAGGCTGCAATTTGCACCATCCGTTTTTTGGAGATGTGGAAAGTCTCTGAAGTGATATTTTGGCAGGGTATAGGATCCCTTTTTAACCTTCCAGAAAGCAGAAGTTCCAGAAATAATGATATGAATACGATCAAATCAGTGTTATCTGGATGTTTAATAAGATCGATCGATTTCTTAATCGTCCTCCAACTTTTGATTATGAATATGGTCTCCAGACCAATACTATAGAATAACCAGAAATGACACTGGAAGTATCCCGCCAGAACGCTGTCTGTGCAGCGACGACATGTTTTAGAAGGAGGTGTTGGCTATTGGTGTGCCATTGGTACCAGCAACAATCTGGCAGATCGTTGGGTTCTCTTTTTAGAGATGACGGAATTTAAGTCGAGGTCAAAAAATGTGGTTCCTTCAACATCAAAGGAACCGACATTAGTGTCCGTTCTGGTTATTATGTATCAACACTGCTCTGCTTCATCTGTCCATTTCCATTCGTGCCACGTGACCAGCAAACGTCAATTTTTGCTTTGTGCTTTGTGTGTTAAGCGTGGGGACTTAATGTTTTTCTGAGTCATTGTCCACGTTTCAGCTTCATAGCATATTACAGGTAATATACAGGTATTCAAAATTTTGGCTTTTAAGTTTTTGCGTTTTAAAATGAAGCTCAATTTGCCTAAAGTTACCTTTCTTCTTTTTATTTCCGTTGTTTGATTCTCTTTTCCAGTTACTTGGTTTTGTCCTAAATATACGTAATCTGAAATTTTTTCAATTTCGTTTTGATCGACGAATATTCTATGGTTTTTATTGAACAAAACTTTCGTTTTATTTAAATTCATCTTTAATCCCCCTTTTCCCCACTCATCTTTCTTCCACTATTTCTTGCAGGTCTTTTGGATTTATTGCAATTATTACTACATCGTCAGCGTAATGAAGATGATTTATGTTTTTGCCAGTCCTTTATTAGTCCAGTTCCTTTAAAAACATCTTCGACAGCTAGAGTGAGTAGGTTCTCTCCTGGGCGGTTTCCCTTCTTCAAACGTATCGGTTTCATTTTGTCAGGATAGCCTTTAGATGTGCGTTTGACTGGAGTTACCTTAACAACAAATTTCCAGAGTTGAAAAACAGTATTTTTGAAAAAGATTTGAAGATTGTAAAAGGGGAGGTTTGGAGGATCTTCAGGAGCAAGCTCTTTTACCTGAAAGAATCTTACATCTTATAATAAGCGAGGTATCCTGTAAGGGGACAAAATTGTAACCACCTTTTTCATATACCATATTTACGTCTGGACCAGATTAATTCGCGCTCTTCTTGCAATAACGGGGAAGGAAGTCATCTTCAGGAGCAAGCTCTTTTACCTGAAAGAATCTTACATTTTATAATAAGCGAGATATCCTGTAAGGGGGCAAAATTGTAACCCCCTTTTCATATACCATATTTACGTCTGGACCAGATTATTTCGCGCTCTTCTTGCAATAATGGGGCTTGGAATACCTGATACCTTACCTAAAGAGATTTCTTTATGGTTGCTTGGCGTTTCACTGCATTTTCAGTTCTTGATATGATGTTTTGATGAACCGAGTAATTTAAAGAAAAACAAATAATCTTGTAATAGTGAAACAGAAGCAGAATTACGTTTGCATATGCAACCAAATATGCTCAGTAAACGATATTTTTTCAAGAAAAAGCTGATTTATAACTCTATATTTTATTTCTTTTTATCCGATTTAAATTTAATATTTATTTATCTGTTGATATATGATACATCGAAATTATTTATTAACGTTAATAACATTTTATTCCATAACAAACATAAAGAACCAACTAAACAAATTGAAATTATTTTGCAAACTCAAAAGTATTTTCTTTCTCCTTCTTCTTCATTTTCGTCCTTAATTTTCTCCCTTCATTTCTCGCCTTTCTTAAAGTTTCGAATACTTTAAATTTCTTTTGTTCCTCAGTGGGAACCATCGCCTTACAACGCATAACATTTTTAACCAAAACGTTTTCTTTAACATAACCGACATATTCATACTTAACATCGTCTTTTTTCTTCACCTTCTTATCATCTTCTTTACATTTAACGGCAACTTTCATTTTAGGATCGACCCGTTTTAATATCTCAACCCTTGCCAAATAACTCTGTAATCTCAAAACATTCAATTTTAACGTTTCCAAAGATACATTTCTTCGACGTTTATCGACCGCTATTCCGATCGTTTGCGCGTAATTTCGATTAATTCCAGCCGATTTTAATTCTTTTATGGAAAATCCTCTTCCTAAACGAGTTTTGGAGTGATAACGAATGGATGGGCAGCGAACGATTGGACGAAGATGATCAATTGGAAGCGGAGTTAAACGTTTTGCTTTATCGATTCTTCTTTGATTTCGACGTTTTTTTCGCATTGGTTGATCGAGTTTGATGCGTATCAGTTTTTGCCAATCTTTATGGAAGTGATTGTTGGAAATCATGTTGTTGTGGCGAACCATTTTATTCTTTAGGATTTATTTTCTTTTTAATTAAATTCTTTTTAATGACAAGAGAGAAACAAAACTATTTTTTCATATACCACTTTTTATTTTTTTGAATTTATTTTTAAGAGACTTGGATAATTCATAAAATATTGATTAATAAAATGTTTGCGGATTTAAATTTATTAAAAAAAAACAATTTGATTTATGTTTTATTAGATTATAAAAATTCTTCTAAAATTTCTCTTCTTAAAATTTCCAACACAGCTTTCGGATTATCTTTAGGTATCTTAAAAAATTAATTCAGAAATTAGTTTAATTTAAAATAGATTTTTTTAATACTTACACTGTGTCCAGCTCTCAAAACTGCATAAAAAGATAACCTATCAATTTTTCTAACGAACGCCTCATTGATATTATCGATTGCAAAAGTGGTTTGTTTTTGGTCTTTCCATTCTTGAATTCCCTCCCAGTTCAATTTTTTAATCCAATCGACGGTTCCGGCTACATTGACTACGTAATCTAATATTCCAGTGAGAACAAGAATTTTAATTTTACTATTATTTAAAAGATACTCAACTAAAAAAAAACTTTAATTTAACTTTTTAATTTCTTATGAAGTTGAAATCACGTAAACCTTTTTCTGTAACACCTTGAAATAACTCTTTTTCAAAATTTTCGTAACAATCCGTGTTAAAAAACGTCCATTTAAGCGCCTTTAATTTCAAATAAGGTTGGACGACGAATTGAAATAGATTATTACAGTTTATTTGGTCCTTGTGTAAATCTTATAAAAAAAACTTTAGAGAATAAAAAGAAATACTTAGTTATTGCAAAAATTACTGTCGTTTGTAAGATGAACGGGAAAAGGGTACAAAATGTTGTAAATATCGAATCCGTCGACGAAATTATTTAGAAAATGTTTCTCCAAGTCATGAGCTATTTGAAATTTTTTCCTTTTTATTGCGGAATTAATTTTTCTTATTTCGGCTTTGACGGATTTAAATTTATGTTCGTCGAATAATCCCTAAAATGAATTAAAAAATTATAACTTTTTTAAACAAATATCGTGTGTTCAATAAAATAAAATACTAATCAATTTTGATTCATTTTAGAAATAGAGGAAAAACGTTGTACAGACGCACAGTGGACCACAAGCGGTAAAATGTGAACGAAAATCAAATTTTCGAAATTTTTTTTTTCGTTTTTTTTTTACATGTTATATGTACTTTAGGTCCTAATAGACTGAGAGGTGAAAGGAATAAAGTGTTATGTACTTTCTAGTGCTAACTGTACGCAATAAAACAGTACTACAATTCTTGTGTATTAAATATCATAAAATGCTACAACTTTAGATGAAGAAAATATATTGTGTTCCACTTTTTCAAGACAATGCGTTGTTGCTATCTTGAACAGTATAGAAAGGTCTTCATTTGGCACTTTTCTAATTTTTAAAATATTTTTGCAGAAATACGTAATAAGCACTTCTTTTAAAGCTAATTAACACCTACTTGAAGTTACAACCAAATGTTTTAACATATATATCTCGCAGAAGACGCAAGAAGAACTTTTGTCGCTAGAATATTCTTATTCTTTGAGATGTGCTCTATATAACATGATAACCACATCTTGCTTTAACTTGCTCCTTACCAAGATATTAGCGATCAAAGATGATCAGTGACTGAGTGTGTTATTTGACCGTTTTCATATAAAATGCTTATATTCTTTTTCTTAAAAGATAAATCTCGTATATTTGGTGTAAACTTGCATAACAATAATAGAATACCAGACTTAAAGTTTCAGGCATATCTAACAACCGGAAGTGGTTGTTAGATACAGTGCGGCAAAAAACTGGAACACTTGAAATATCTACTTTTTTTGTAAGTACGAAGGCTTTCACGGCCGGAGTTAATTGAACTAAAATTAGAACTAAAACTAGAACTAACACTAGAAACTTTCGGGTTTTGCCGTGCGTCTTTTAAGAAAAGGTTTGACGTTTCGGATGCCATGTTGCAACTTTCTTCAGAAACACTTCGAACCAGTTTTATTAAATAATATTTAAAAAATTTTTTTTAAATGTTTCGATAATTATCCAAATGTAAATGTAAATTCTATATTACGTTGTAAGTGGGGGTTTGATGGTAGCGGATGTCATTCGACTTATAAACAAAAGTTCATCACAAATGCAGAGGGAAAACATGATTCGCTATTTGTGTCTTCCTAGTCCCATTACGATTGGAAGACAATGATAATAATATTGTATTGTGGAAGAACCCCACACCATAATCTATACGGTTTTGTAGACCGATTAGATTACAATGGGTGCATGAAAATGCCGCTCTTATAAGAACCGAAGAAAAATATATATTTCAAACCAAATAAGCTCCCTTCAGCCATATACCTCAAAATGTGTAAGTGTTAACTTTTCTCTTTATTTCACGATGGTGGATGGCAAGGTATAAAGTCTTCGTTTTCTTAAAACTTTATTTGAATTATTCATACATGTTGTAGGTCTGTAATTCTTTGATGGGAATTTGAAGGAATCATCTGGAATGGAATGTTATTTATGCAGAGCAAAAATTTCACAGATGAACGGTAGAGCTAGAAGGTTTTAAGTTTGGTTTGTCTGTTCTCCATGCATACATTCGGTTTTTTGTGTGTCTGCTTCACATTTCATATAGATTAGAAATTAGAACTTGGAAGGTGACTAGTTGATACGTAGTTTTAATAAATTATCATCAGAGATTACTGTTATGACAATTTTATAGTAAGCGCGCATGTACTAATCACTTTATACTTCATTTAAGGAATTGACGAGGAACTAATACAGCGATTTGGCGTTGTTTTGGCTGCAATAAACAGTGGGTACAATATTAATTACAATGAATTTGATAAATATTGTTTCAAAACTGCCGAAAAGTACGTCCATTTTATAGTTGGTACTATATGCCATCCAGCGTTCATAAAATTTTGATACATGGATCTGCAGTTATTAAAGAAGCTCTACTACCTATTGGAGAGTTGTCGGAAGAAGCGCAAGAAGCTAATAACAAAAAAATTCGAAAATTTAGAGAGAGCCACACAAGGAAATGTAGTAGACTGGATACGAATGAACATCTATTTAAAAGACTGCTACTCAGCCCCATTTCACCCCCCCAGCTCACATCCATTTATAAGTAATTTTCAACAGCACATTTCTAGAAAACATAA